TTTTTTTTTTTTTTTTTTTTTCTTCGAGACTATTTCCAAGATCCGATGGGATGCGAGCAGTTGCAATTTGCAAGTATACTTGTAGAAAATGGAAAACGATGTTTCTGCCCGGCAGCGCTTCTTTCTAGCTTTGGTTTTCTAACAGAAAACGCCGACCGTGTTTATCGTTCACGTTATCGCGGCACATTAAAGTGATACGAAATCTCTGCCGCGCGACTGCCTGGTAAATAGCTGGCAATGCGTCCGCGGTTCGCTAGATAGAATCCACCGTCTAAGTACTCGTCGTCTCCCAATCGAAAGGTTATCCATAAATATACTATGCGAGAACGGCCGATGGTGTGATGAACTTCGACGAAGCCAGGAATAAAGCGGCGGCATATAAAACGCCGGACAATTCAGTGCTTCCTCTTTGATACTCGCTATCGGCGAACGATGGAAGAGCAAATAAACGTCTCGAGCTGAACATTGGGTAACATTCTGGGTTTAAGCGGTGACGGACGAATCGTGTGTAGACAGAAATAAGTTCATTCGTGTTTCCTTAAAAATGTATATTGCATCGAGGGGCAAATGAGAAACGTCTGCCATAAAATTTGAAAGTCCAAAGAACGTTTCGTAATCGATAATCAGCTCTCGCAACTGCGATCTACAAGTTTCAGTTTAAATTCAGTTCGTTAATGTACATGTTCGTGTTCCATTAAAAACGAACATTGCGATGTTATTTTTCATCGAGAAGCAAATCAAACATTTCCCGTAAAATCTGATAATGTACGTTCAACTGCAACTCCAAAGAACATAGGCATATCAGAAATAACGCTCGAATGTTTCGCAATCGAGAATCGTCGCTCACAACTGTGATCCGCAAGTTTCAAATTTCAATTCAGCTCGTTAATATACGTACGGCAGTTGGAGATGAAAATGCCACGAATTTCCGTATACGAAAATTGAAGTTACGCTGTTAGATAATCTGAAATCGAATAATCAATTTGATAAGGGAGCCCGATGTGGCCGAGCTACGCGTATGCGTAACCACGATTGTAACGATCGGGACGCGTTATCTTTTAATTTTATTTGACCGGTCTGCGAACCAACTGACTAACCATTTTTCCTTTGTCTCTTGCTTGCAGCTCAGATCGAAATAATCCCGTGCAAGGTGTGCGGCGACAAGAGCAGCGGTGTTCATTATGGCGTGATCACCTGCGAGGGCTGCAAAGGCTTCTTCAGGCGGTCGCAGTCGTCGGTCGTCAACTATCAATGCCCGCGGAACAAGAATTGCGTGGTCGACCGTGTAAACAGAAACCGGTGCCAGTACTGTCGGTTGCAAAAGTGCCTACGCCTCGGCATGTCTAGAGATGGTAAGTGCATATCTCGTCGATTCGAAGCCTTCGTTTCCCCGGAGAACCTCAAGGTTGCTTGCCAGGCGCTGCTACTCGCGTTAGCTTAGCATCTCTAACGAGCAAACGTAACGACCGCCGCTT